TTAAAAGCAATAATTTATCTTGTGTTAAGATGTTTTTACTGACATGATTTGAAAGAGGCACAGGTGACCTATAATATTGTGGACTTGGTGTGCTGTTGACATCTCTGTTCCATGCCAGAGACCTTTTTTTAATTTGGAGTGGTCCTTGTGCAAGGGTGCATGAGACACCATCAGTCAGTGTTGCAGCCTGACGCAGCACAAAGCCCCGCCTCATGGAAATGTAAGTCGAAATTCAATAACTCATATTCTGTTGCTTCTGTTAAGTTAATGCATGAGGCATTCGTCACTCTCAGCTGCCTTGCAATGCAGCGACAGCCTCACCAGCTAGGTATGTGTCATGGTTCTTGGTCCAGTGGGTGCTGCCCACCTCACGAGACACCCCAAGCCATGCAAGAACCTAAATACCTGGAATGCGCCTGTCCGTGTCGTATGTGTCTCTTTTTTCGTCCTGTTCGTTCGCGCCTTTTAACTTTTTAATCTAAATACCTCGTGCCTAAATAGCCAAACTTTCCAAGCAACTCTCATTTGCTCTTTGCATTACTGAAGATGCCTCCCACAAGGGAGGTGAAACGTTTAGCTAAATTATTATTTCCGTTGTGTCAAGCCGACTTTGTTACTGGTTATCATGTCTTCGCCCGGCTTCTAGAGTATTTTTGCATGCAGATTCACGTAAAAACAAGTATAGCAAGTCATCCCTTGAAGTCCTACTGCATGCAGCATGGGAAAACAAATGTGAAATTGGGGAATCTGGATCAGGACGTGCAAGATTACATTCAAAAGCTCCGATAGAAGGGAGGCATCATTAACCAGACGACCACCATTGTCACTGGTTGGGGAATTGTTAAGAGGGGACACTACTCAAAAAAAAAAAATTTTTTTTCTGCAAAAAAAGTTGATTTTTGAAAAATGTCATATTTACATCCACCACCATCTGGAGAGAAATTTTTTACTTTGAACACATTTTTCTCCGTTCCACATTTTGGCATAAATTTCATTTTAGGAAAACTATTGTTTGTTAATGGGACAAGAGGAAAGACTCGCTTATTGTTTTACCTAAGTGGAATTTTATGGGCAGTGCAACTATGGAATTGTTTTTTGACTTTGTGGATGTCTTTTATAAAAGATGTTAAGGTTTTGTGGATGACATAAAAGGCAAAAAAATTTATTTGATTTTTCACTGCAATGTTAGTATAAAGTAAATTACTTTATGGAAATTTTCCTTTCACAGCTGCGCTCTCCAGGCATTCTGCTGCGGCAAAATGGGCAAAATCCATGATAAGAAGAGTGAACCTCGTCCGTAGGAAAGTAACGCGGACAGCCAGGAAAGTTCCAACTGATTTCGAAGACATCAAGAGCGAGTTTCTAGCAAGAGTTGAAGACGTGGTGCGCGAAAATTAGATTCCGAAAGACATGGTACTTAACTGGGACCAAACTGGCTCGAAGCTAAGCCTGGTAAGCCACTGGATCTCCACAGGATCTCCACAAATCTCCTTGGTTGGACGTGACAACAAGAGAGTGATTACTGTCCTGATCGCAATAGACTACTTCCATAAAGCCCTGCATGCAACACGGCGCGCGTTGCACTCTGGGAACTAGTTGGCCAGGGAGGAGGGTGGCATGGTTTCGGTTTCGATCGACACGTCGACAAGAGATTGTTTTCTGGTCCCGAGAGCGTCATTTGTGGTCTCTAAACTAACCTAAATGGCCAGACCTCGAAGCTTTAGCACAAGCCCGAGACGTATAGCTTGTCTTAACACATGCTTGTTTTATTTTTGTACTTGAGCCTTCCTGTTAGCGCTCCAATCGAGGTATGTGGACGAGCCAGTGCTGGGAGTCTCGACGCTGCGAAGCTCGGGTGCTCGGGGATCTTGCTTGTGTACGAACCAACAAGCTGTAGCAAACAATAAGTATGCATACATCGAGCTCGCGCCTTTACATTAGTGTTGTTGATCAGGAAGTTTGTTTGCTTCGTGCGTCCATAGACGAAATATTTCTTTTTGCAACTACTGTTTTTCTTAATGTGCCTGAGTATGCGAGGTAAAACTCGGAGGTGCCATTGAAAAGCTCAATTTGAACACACTACTTACCTCTTATCTGTACTGACCCGCAGCACTGCACGAAGTGAAGTCCCCACCCGCTTGCATTTCACTAATATTCAACATCGCGTATGCGCATAAAGTTATCCTGCAATCATATAAGCACATTCGCGCATACAGACCGTTTTAAGAATGCAAAAGTCGAGCACTTGTGTGACGAATGTCGCACCGTTCGCCGGAAGTGCGTCAGACGGGCATGAACCCCTATGCGGTCCGCATTGGAGTTCATGCCCGTCCGGCGCACGGTGCGACATTCTTCAGACAAGTGCTCGAACGAATTCAAAGCGCATTTGACGGTTGCTAATGGCCATAATATTTGTTATGTGTTTGCTTTCTTCCTGCCTGACTATGCCGAGATAATTTCAGACACACCGTTCCCGGCACAGATCTCGGACGTCAGTAAAAGCTTGTCCAAAAAGGCTTAGCGAGGAGTAGGAAACGCTTGTTAGGGCCTCCGTCGTAGCTAGCCGATCTCAGCGTTTGCGAAAAGTTAATCTTCTATCAGCATAAAATTTGAGTGGGAGATACATGATGTCATGAGGAAGACATCATAGTAACTTTTGTGCAGTAGTGAGGTCGAATTTATTGCGTTTCCTTAAAAGTTCATGCGTAAACGCTGGCCTCAACTTTGATATCCTGTGAGGATGCGGCTTGCTTTTCGCCCAATGAAGTAACAAGAAGCGGACGTTTGGCAAACAAAATGCGTGTAAGGCTCCAGACGAACAAATTTCAGTTGTAGCTCACTGGTACTAGACGGGATTACTGACATTTAGCTCAAAGATGCACTCGTGGGGTGAGGTGACTAAGCCACGACTTACTACGTTCACATACGCACGCACAATATCCGGTGTTTCGGGAACCAAGGAAATTGCCCCGGTCTTTGTTTTGTATCGCTCCAGAATGAGTGTATTGTACGTTCGTGACAAGTCAGATAATCGAAAACGCAAGCAGCGCGTTCGGTCGCGGCGTGATAGCATGAGATGGAGCTGCTCAGTCGAAACCGAAACTGAGTGGCCAACTAGTTCCCAGAGTGCACTGCGTGGTATTTCGCCGCAATGGGGTGCGTCGGTTTTGGAAGAAGTCCATTGCACTGGGAGGAGCCGTTCTGCCTCCCCAGATAATCTACACGGGAAAGACAACGAGATGCCGTGTAGCAATTGGTTTTCCAGCCCCCTGGGACATCTCGCATTCCCCAGACCACTTGAGTACTACCAACACGATGCTGCGTTACATAGACGCCATGCTTGTACTATAACTATCTACATTAGTGCGAACATATCTCTGCGTGGCCCGTGGTACTATCAGGGCCTCCTGTCGACTGCTCTTTGAAGTATGCGGAGAGCAAGTTCGTCTGCTTCTTGTGCAGGGGTTGCAGTAACGTCAGAACGCCGAGCTCTGATTGGCTCGAATGAAAAAATAGTGGGTCGCCACGACCCACTATCTAAACGTCGTCTGCTCCTTTGCAACGTCGTCTGCTAATCAACAGCTGTCTTACCTTTACGAGCGAGCTCGACTTCACCTTTCAGAGAGGGCAGACGAAATAACTTGAGAGGTAAGATGTGTTCTTGTCTAACAACTAGCAGACACACATCAAGGAGTGAAGCCAAAGGACTCGCGGCCGAGATGGCTGACGCGCCAAGGATTGTTTGCTAAGAACCGAGAACGAGGGAGGTTACCGTCCGCAAGTTCCCTCTTTTCGTGTACGGCGAGACTCCTCACCCTTTAACGGCTTCAGCGGGTTGGCGCGGTTGACGCAGTTTACATCGTCTGCTTTACGTCTGTTAGTCAAAGCAATGGCTGTTTTATCTTTCCTGCGTCTGTCGGAGATTCACCGCTTTTTCACAGACAAGAATGCGGCCTTCGAAAAAGGCGAAGGAAAATACCTTGTAGGATACGTCCTTTCTTTTGAGGCGAAGAGCTTCACTCTAGTAGCGAATATACAGGCGTCGTTTAAGAATTGTAGCTACGCAGTAAAAATGACGCTCTCCGATAAAGGCGACATTTTAGAGAGTCACTGTGAGTGCCTTTGTGGGGCCGCAAAGTGCAGCCCCGTGGTGGCTACTGCACTTTATGAAAAAGTTGTCCTGGAGCCGCGCGCGCGCACCCACAAACTGGAAGGTCATTGAGTTTGTGCGTGCGCGCGCTTTCCGCGGCAACGGTCGCGCCCGCGGAGAGAGCCTTTTTATGGTTTTCGCTTTTGTTATCTTATTTTTGCTTTTGTACTGGGTTTGTTTTAGGCGTCGGTTAAAGGCTGCCGGTTTGCTTGGTTCCGAAGTCGAAAAGGAAGCGGGACCCGCTTTCCTTTCAGCTTTCGTCACCTTTGCTCGGTCACAATGGCTTCTTGTGATTTTTCTTTTCTTTTTCTTTTTTTCAATGATTCTCTTCTTTTTTTTTTTTTTCCGTTCACGTTGGACCGAAGGCTGCAGCGGTCGTGGCTTCGAATTGCGCTTGCTCGGAGGAGGCGGAAACGAGCTACCCGTGAAGCAGTGGATTTTGCTCGACAGTAAAATGAGTCGCAAGTAAGATACCAACCCGAGATTTGAGTTCAGTTAATCTCCTGTCTAGCTTCGCTATACACAGACCAAAAAAAATCACATTTTTAAACTTTTGTGAAACTTTTCGAGCTCGGTACCCGAGTCATGGCCCACCCCACAATTTTTGAGAATTTCAGGCGGTGGGGGGGGGGGGGGGGGGGGGGGGCGTTGACTCGGGATATTACGGTATATATTTTATAGCTTTCATAGTTGAACAGTACAGCGCACATATACTGAACTACACAAAGTTAAGCCTCATAAAAAGTCCTACCTCTGGAACACGAAAGTAAAAGAATAAAGGTCTCAGCTGTTCTACAAGGAGTGCGCTCTGGAGAAGGAGCACATGCAAGTACATTCAAATAGAACATACATTGTCGTGGGCTTCGTTCGAAGTAGCAAGGGCCGCCTCCGAGATGTTCTGAGCCTCGTCAATGATCTTGGCAATCTCGTCGTAGGCCAGGGCCGAAGAAGACGTCTGCTGCGTGGAGTTCAGGATTCTGCAAAGCAGTACTTGTTCAGTAGGTACCCTCGTCGTCTCCCACACGGAGCCACGCATAAAAGCATTTGGACGTCCACCAGAACGTCTGGTAATAACAGCAAAACACCCTCGGCCAAATACAATTCAGATCTGTCTGCCCATGAATTGGCCAACTACAACCAGAACAGAAATTCTCCAATATTTGTGTTGCTCGCATTAAAGGTTCTAAGCAGGTTGCACACTTAGTGGCCTGAAGTGAATGGTGCTGTCAAAAACTCGCGGATGAAGATGACGCAATACAGTGTCACTGGACGGGGTAAACTGAAAGCCTTGTTTTGGATGACAACCAATTAGCTCGCTAAAATCATGTTTGCCACATTTTTCCTGTTTGGATGTATCAGTTTTCCTCGGACGCTGACACTCTTCGATTGTGGAAAGCTTCCCGAGGTGAAGACTAGAATAAATGCCACTTCTAACGAGGGTTAACATGTTTTAGCTCTGTTGAGCATGCACAGGGTAGTCCCAGCTAGAAAAAGTAAAACTTCATGGCCTGCTTGCTCAGCAAGCCACTGGCATGGTAAAAACTTTTGGGGAAATAAATCCTACATGATTATAAATGAAACTTGCTGAAACCGTGCATCTGAAGTTAATAAAACCCAAATATAATGTTTCTCATTTTTTATTAAAAAATGTCTTCTAAACACATTTCTTTAAGGGGTTAGGACATGCCGAAAATAAAATGAGATAACTACCGTAAATTCCGAGATAGCCCACCTAACATTGAGAGCGGGTGAAAATATAGGAGTGGGCCAACTTTCGGAGTACGATCGAGAAAAGTTTGAAAAAATTGCTATATTTAGGTTGTGTCCCTTCCAAGCTTTCTTATGGTGGGAGGGACAACAAAGCAAAAATGACTGTACTTCCCAGTCAGCAACGTTCGCTTATACCTCGCCAAAGCTAACCAGCCGCATTTATGCTGAGGCCATCATTGATCCCAACACTACTTGTACTAGACTGGGCTATCTCACGGTGTTTAATAAAACATAGGAAATCAAGCCAAAAGTAGGGGGAGGGCTATTTTTCGGGGGTGGGGCATCTCTCGGAATTTTACGGTATACTGCTATCACACATTGTATCTTCCTATATTTTTTCCAGCATTAGTAGAGATGCACGGAAACTGGAGCTTAAGTTAATGTGTCTTCGTATATCAAATTGACTCCGTAAGTGTGACGTCATGGGTCCAAACAAATCGTTGCTAGGGTCGTTGTTATGGACAAATACATGTGGCTCGGTTTCGCTGCGAAAACTTGAGCGTTCAAAAATCAGGAGTAGGATTCAAACTTCTAAAAATCACATATATACAAAGCTTGAATGTCATATATGCTTCGACAGAAGTGTGCCGGTAATCGCTACTTTCTGAAATATTTACGACTGCAACTTCCGGTCCTTAAGGGGGCACACCCCCTAGGGGGGTCAACTTTCGAACCCTTGTCTTATAATTAATGAAATTTACAGGGTAGGCTGGTGGTCATGCTAGAGGGTGTATAACAAAATTTCAGGTCTGTCGGTTAAGTGAGAAGGAAATAAGGGTAGCTTCTATCAGCAACACGCCTACGTTGTTTAGTTAATCTATCGTCAGAAAACTGTTGCGATATTAAAAATTTTTATTTGCTAGATATGTAGCAGAATGCATAGAGGATGCGGCTATGGAACATTTTTTTCTAAAAAGTAATTTATTTCTATAAATTTTCTCTTCTGCAAAATTGGTCAACGTTTTGGTCTTCTGTGCCTTCGACAAAATGTCAACATTTTTTACAAAAGACATCCGTAAAGTGACGAAAAAGTTCCATAGCCGCACTCCTTATTAAATTTCAGTCAGGAAAAGGGAAGAATGAGCTTTCCCTGTTTTGCCATTATCAAACGATAGATTGACTAAAATGGAATTTATACCAAAAAGTGGAACGGAGAAAAATGTGTTCAAAGTGCTCCAAACCCTACCTTTTCTATAGCTTTGGTGGACAGAAAATAATTTATAAAAAATTAACTATATAGTGAAAATTAATGAAACTTTTTGGGAATACTCTGTAGATGTTGGTGGATGTAAAAATGTAATTTTTCAAAATCAACTCTTTTTGCAGAAATTTTTTTTTCTGGGCAGTGTCTCCCCTTAAGATGCCTGCAGCAGACGACGAATGCAAGAAGTATGCCGTCTGCCACACGCCGGCCGGCGAAGCCGGCGCAGTCGTTTGAATCGCGTGAATAAAGACGATATTCTGATATTGCATTTGTTTGAAATATAATGAGTTTCAGACACTTACAAGAATTCATAGTGGGATAAGATGCAAAATATGGTTTTTCGAAAGTCCTGGCGTCGATCGAGATGATCGTCTGCTCAAAGATCACATTTGCACCCGTGAGAAAAGCACTTCAGGCGATCGGTTGACTTCCCAAATTTTGTTTGAGGACTCGCGCTATGGGAGGGTGCTTCGTACCTGGTTGTAACCATCGCGTGGAGAAAGATTCTTGTAGTTTCTTTAGATTTCCGCAAGACCCCAAAACGCGAAAGTACTGGATAAAAAACATAAGGTGAGTACATGTAGCACTGGCGGACAGTCGCCTTGGTGTAAAAAAAAAGGACCGAACCAACCGAGAGCACGTAAAACCCGTATTCTGTTCGGTCATAATGTCTTAAAATATGGCGCTATATTTATATATTATTACTATAACATTGATAAAGTAGTTGCATGCAAGTAGTAGTGAGAGTAAAATCCAGCTGAAACCTGCAGTAGTCTTACATTGCTATGGTAAAGCAGCGTTAAGAAGTATGTCTGTGTCCATGCGCTATCCGGTTATTTTGTTTATGCTTATATATCTACCTTTGCTGTTGTTTTTTCATTGTGCTCTTCATATGTTCCCCTTTACGGACTAGCTCTTGAATTTAGCATATTTAGTACAAGACTGGTGGATAGCGTTCTCCTTGTTCACCTTTGTTTATATATACTTTTAATTGAGTGTTTTATTTAACTATATATTATTATTATTATTTTATTGAGGAACAACTGCAAGGTTGTTCATGGGTACAATAAAACGTTGATTGACTATTATTATTTTTTTAGGAGAGCAGACAGCGAGCCGGGGCAACAAGCACGCATTTGCAGTTGCCATTTCAAGGATGGAAAAAAAAGCAAAATGCCAACCATTTTCCCTTGGAATAAGGAAACTCGTTTCCAATTTCCAGAAACCCAATGTGGACGGAGGTGAGGACCTGAATATGCGTTATATTTCATTATAAGGTTAATAACACACAATTAATTTTTTCTATCTCTTTATATTTAACAAATATTGTTTGATGTAGCATATAACCTTTGTGTATGCTTTGCACACATTGTGATTTGCAGGAAGCGAACAGAACCCCACACACCACAGCAGGCACACAAACCTACCACGTCAAGAGCTGTACTAGAAGCGGAGAATTACTTCCTGCAGAGAGTATGTGTGCTTTTAATATGTTCTTTAATTGAAAAGATGTCACATCAAACATGCCTCTTTAACATATGAATCATAACCATGATTTTTCATCTGAAGGTTTAAGTTAGCATGCCTACATGCACATATTTTCACATCCAAGACAGTGGCATCAGGAGTTGTGCGGGGAGGGGGTGGAGGGGGGGGGGTGACAGGGGTGGGGTTGATTGATTCAGCCCCCTTTGCACAATATATCTTACTAGTATTACTTCAAATATCACCAGCTGCTTCAACACGGCAGATTATATAGTATAGCGAACAATGATTGAGAACTAGAAATAAGAGACTTAACTGGGAAAAACTTCAAAGAAGGGTTTGCTCTGATCTTAACTTTTGATGCACTTCAAACTTGAGTCAGTTGCCAAATTAAGATAAATATTTTCTTTTCTCCGGTTTGTATGCTGATTATGACTTGTCAAAGTTCCTCCGCAGATTTTAAGGGAAACCCATGTATATTGGGCACAAAATAGACTAAACTAATCCTCAGCGATCATAATTTACTGTCAGCACTACTACATTCACAGAATATTATTATAGCATGCAACTCTGCATTTAAAGTATACATAAACTGAGAAGCGAGCTTACAATTTGACAGCATCAGTTATAGCACACATTTTTCGTTCCATTCAGGTCAGAGGGGGGTTACAAGTCGTACATACTGTAATTTGAGTACATATTTTGCTATGATATATCATATATATTAGGTTCACTAAATTATATTACAGGAGGAAGAGGCTTCCGGGAAAGAACACCAAAGACGGTTCACCTTCAGTTCAATTGAGGAGAAAACCAACCTGGTCGTTCTCTACACGGGGCTGCCACACAAAGATATGTTTTATCTCTTGCTAGAGCTGTGCCAGAGGTTCACCATAAGCTACCATGCGGGATGGCAGGTGCAGTCCATTGAGCTGGCTGACCAGCTATTCATGACTCTCGTCAAGCTGCGCTCGAACACCACCCACCTTGACCTTGCTGTTCGATTCAGCTGCAGCACTGCCACAGTCTCAAATGTGGTGCTCACATAGGTCAACATATTACACAAGGTGCTTTGCGATGGGCTGATGGGCCAGATTCCTTCGGTGAACAAGGCCTGTCTCCCGTCATGTTTTGCCAGCTTCACCAACTGCAGAATCATCCTCGACTGCACAGAGGTTGAAGCTGCTGTCCCAAAGGTATTAAATACAACTGAAGTTTTCAGCTTAGCCATATGAAGGAAATATGTATTATATTCTGCCATATCACACAAATACATTTCATTGCCTTAGTATCGAAGAGAATGCTCTTCGATACTAAGGCAATGAAATGTATTTGTGTGATATGGCAGAATATAATACATATTTCCTTCATATGGCTAAGCTGAAAACTTCAGTTGTATTTAATACCTTTGGGACAGCTGCTCTATCTTCCTAGCAGTGAATTTTTAGGTCACGGGCCTCAGGGTGCTGCCTCCGATTTGTTTTTTGGCAATCATTAACTTTATAAACTACAGAAGTA